GAGAGGAGCCAAGGGAATCGAGGGGGAAGGAGGGGGCCGTGGTGGCACGAAGTATTATCACCCGGGTGACAGGGGCCCCAAACAGTGACTACCTACACTGAGCTTTGGGACATTTCTACAACAGTACTCTGTCCTTAATCACTTGACAGTAGGAAAGCTTTTACCAAGAGACCCGGAGTAATTTTGCAGTCAATCTATTTTTTTACTTCAACGTTCTTACAAGTTTTTAGCAAGCAGGAAAAAAATTTGTCTTTTTTTGAAACCCTTCACAGATTCTTGCTCACTTAAAATGTATAACAAAACTGAAGGTCATATTCTTAATCATTTAGAAGTCTTATCATCTTCTAAATGAAAACATAGCCATCTTATATACGTAGGATGCAGAATTGTACTTTGAAACTAAAATAAAAAAATAGAATTAAAATGAAAAAATGTAAAGAAATTCATATAAATGCTGCAATTATAGTTTTCAAGTGTTATCATACCTACAACACAGGTTTTTTTTTAATTTGCAGAAACCAAATATTTGCAAAAAAAAAGCATTTGTATTTTTATATATATATATATATATATATATATAATATTTAATAATTTATTCTTTGCTTTATGGGCTATAGTGGAATAAATTAAAATGTTCATGCAAAAAAAAATTTTTATAAAGCCAGCTGTCAATGTGGTAAACATTTGGTGGTGATGTATGGCAAAATTAAAATTAATTGTACCAGTATTCAATTACTAAGTGAAATAAGGAACCAGCACATGAAAAAACAGCTAAATTCAGTGTATCTGAAGGACAACTTCCATTTTTCATTAAATGAAAGACGACATTGTGGAGCCGGCAAAGTTTCAGAGTCAGCATGATAGGACTGAACTACTTTACACTGATTAAAATTACTGTATTGTGATAATATGATAAAAAAAAAAAAAAACATGTTCAAAATTATCTCAAAATGGGGTTGGTACCTGTCCGATCTGGTTGATGGAGGACTCTATCTTGCGGAGCTGCAGGGCCTGTGCATCCAGAAGCTTGAGCACATTGGTGGCCATAGAGCTGATCTGATAGGCTACACTAGCCAAGGACTGAGCAGTGAAGGCCTTGGTCTCCTCCAGGGCTTTGGTGGTGTCATTTCCAGACTGCTGAATTATAAACATCCTTTAATTAAATCGTTAAGCACAGATGACATATGAAATCATGTTTCAACCAACTTCATCTTAATGAACATTAATAATACTCGCTGTCATGGTGTTGCATGTAATACATGACCTTAACATCCTGCAGCAATTAAAGAAAAGGGAACAAACTTTTTTGTGTACACAAGTAGAGTCATTTTCATTTGTTGTTCTTCTTTCCATTTACTTCTATTATTTTTATACTGTGCCAATGGTATTAAACTGGCTTACGCCTACTTCTCAACGCGAAACTTTTAGCATTGTTGCATTTTCTGTTGTTTTGCTGTCTTTGTGGGGAGCAAATGTAATGTGAAAAAACCTTGACCTCACACAAGGTTCGGGTCAGATGCCGTCTCTACTGTAAGGAAGACAGTCTTGCTTCATCTTCTCACTTGTATGTCTTTCTTCCTGAATGCTGTACAACAGCACATTTATATTGAACACCAGTCTCATAAATAGCAACATGAGTGTGAGCGGGTGAGATCAAACTGTAAAAGTTTTAAACTGAGGCTTTACAAAGTGGTGAAGTCAATAAGAGTGTACTGAGAGACTCCAAACACTCCTGAGGAAAATAAATACACCAATCTGTGTAGCATTTACCTTCAATAACACATTTGAGTAGGCTACTGTTTACATACCGACTGTAAAAACTGATTTCTGCACAGACGTGCCTTTCACACACAACGCGTTTTGGGACGCAGGGCAGAGGAATGGGGTAAAACGCAAGGTTCTAGGTCTGTTTAACTGATTTTATCTTGAGTGCCACGTTTTTAGGACGCAATGTCTTGCGAGAGACGCTGCGATAAACGCGAGCACAACGGTCCAATACATCTAACGCGTTTACATGAAAAAAATAATAGAAAACCAGCACAGTAGAAATGCAAAAATGCAATCTGTGGCCAATATCACTCAAGTATGCAGTTAAATAATTAAAGTGTTGCTTTGTAAATGACACGTCTCATCATTTCTCTACCGGTGTCAGATTAAATCTGTGTGTGGGACGTGAAGCTGCTCGAGCGTGCGTGTGAGTGTCTTACCTGCAGGTAGTTGCTCTCGCAGTACTCCGCTACTTTGTATAAATTGTTGTAGTTGTCTAAAAGTGCTTTGCGAGCGGAGGGGGCCTCCTCCAGTATTTTTGTAACTTCTTCGGAGTAGTTTTGATCCTTCATTGCGCGACGGAATGACACACCGTTCAGGAACAACTCCGGAAACCTCCGTGCGACTGCAGCCTACTGATATGTGTCAGTCAGACTCAGACTCAGACCCCATCCGCCACTGCCTTCCTCTGTCAGCACACACAAGTTCTGCTTTGATGCTGCAAGCACATATCTGCTCAAGGCCTCTGCGAGCATGCGGAAACGAGAACGTCCTGCCATTTACATTTAAACCTGCAATAAATTATCAGCCGGAGTGACTAGTTCTAGAAACATAAAATAATTCTACACATATTAATAGTACTTAGCTGTTTCAAAAACACGTGGTTCCCATCAGCGGTGAAATCACGCCCTCTAGCGATTGTGACCAATAAATGTGAAATATTTGAACAGAGATGGAAAATCTAGGACTTTTTATTTAAAGGCAGCAGAAAATAAAAAGAAGCTCGCAATAAAATGAGCTAAAACAACTAAATATCAACATGTTTATTATTTAATTACAACACCTTTTCTTCTTTGAATAAATGAGATTTTAAAAGTGTGATTTATAGATTTGGAAAACTTGTAATATAAATTAATAAAGAAGAAGAAAAAACTTTTAAACTTTAAAAAGTCTTATGCCAAGCTCTATAAAATATTTTAAAATATTCAAAACTATTTTATTTTATATATAAAAATATTTAAATGAATCACAAACGACTGGAAAACTCACATAAATTCATTGGTTAAAAAGATAACAATCAACTTTTATGTCTTCTTGAATTCTAAAATAATCGATTATACATAATTTTACAGAAACTATGAGTGATGAGTGTTCACAGATAAAAATCAAGAGAGCATTATTGTGGAAACTATTCATA